GTGGCATGTCGGGATCCTCCTCCCATGGCAGCTGGATCCCCCGCTGCTCCCGTGGCATCCAGATCCACCGTTGCTCCTGTGGCACCCTTCACTGCTGTGGCATGAGGACCGTTCTTGCCGGTGGCACTGGTCTTTGTCCTGGCGGGAGCACATCTTTGCAGGCCTGCTGGAAAGACTGTCATCTTTGAGTGGGTGCAAAGGCAAGAGACACTGTGATGTCTGTCAGCTAGCAGTAATAGATGTCTAGTTAGATGGGATTATATATCAAGAATAAATTCTCATTATAAGCCAGGTTCTTGAAGAAGAGAGAAAAATTAGCAATGCACATCTGCCCGTAGCGGTCCCTGACCTGTACAGAGGACTCTGTGCTATCTTCCTTTGAGCAAGTCTTTCCTTTCTCTTCTATGTTTAGCAAATATATAAGATAGAAGTTAAAGCACTTAATGATTAGTGAGAAGTGGTGGCCAGACAGAGTCCAGAGCTACACCTGAAGTGTCCTGTCCTCAGTTGTCTGAACCAGTAAGTTTTAAGTTTTCTTAGTTGCTTTCTATTATTTATGTATAAACATGGATGGAGAAGACAACCCAAGCAGAAGGATTGAGCAACTGTGACCAGAGACAGTCACAGAGATGAGATGTGTAAGAGAAGTGGTCAAGACCTCAGGATCAGGACGAAGCTGGTGATCATTAAAAGTGCAAAAGTTTGATCAAGCTGGACTTACCCCGTTCAGCAGGAATTCAAGAGGAGACGTGAAGCTGTGACAATGAGGAGAAATGGGGTGCGAGGTCTTTCATAGGGCACCCAGTGTTTTTCCTCCGGAAACACGATGAGCTCCACTGGAGGGACTTGATTGTTCACCACCCCGAGCACTTTGCTAATTGGAGAGTTTTTACACTGCTGTTTTGACTCATGGTATTACGAGCAGATCAATATCCTGCCTTCGGAATCGCCATTCCTCTCGTTACTCCATAAAAACGTAAATTGCCCACCACACCTGGTGTGGTTCACACGCAGGGATGGGGAGGTTTCTGGATGGTCTTGCTGCCTTTGACTAAAGCATTTATCTGCTTCTTATGCCTAATGCAAAGCAGCCGTGAGCCCAAGTCGGCAATGCAAAAATGTTAGCGGATAGGAAGGTGGGATAGTGGGGTGGGCTGGTGGATGGGGTTGCAAAGGGATCCAGAAAATAAAAGTGGCTTGAAAGAGAACAAATAAGGCCATGGTGGCGTGTAGGAAAAATGAGTGTGTTTGGGCAGTTTAGGAAAAAAATCTAGGTTGTGAGTGGGTGAAAGAGACAAAGGGAATTATGGATGTAGGTATGAGCACATGATGGGGCGGCAGAAGGCGAGCACAGAGCCCGGGGCTGGTCTATGTGCGGGGTGCCCTGAAAACAAGGAGCGTGAGCATCCTCTGCCGAGCCCCGGGGGCCAGCACTGGCCATCCGCCTCCGCCGGGGCAGTGGGGCTCAGCCCTGGTGGGTTACAAAAGGAGTTGAGTCACTTCTGGGCTCTAAAGCTGTCACCGAGGTTTGGGTTTCGGGTTTAGAGGTGGGAGATGGCGATGCGAGACTTTGAAGCAAAATCCTGCTGGATGTGTCCAGTTGGAACGATGAGAGTGGGCAAACGCAGGTGGTGGGACATGGCCAGGGAGTAGCACCAGAGAAACCTATTTCTGAGTAAAACAGCAAAGCAGCACTTAAAGGGGTGTTGCAATATTTCAAGTCAGTCCTTTCTTTGCTCAAAGAGAGACTCTTAACCCAAAGAGAAGGAATTTAAAACCCCAGAGGAGACAGAGAGCATCCAGGCAGGAGGCTCAGAAGGACAAAAGGTCTCCAACAGTGTCCCATTCCCACGATACTTGTTCCAAATATCTGCTATTGGTTCCCTTTATTACACTTTGATTGGAGAAAAAAGTAGGGAGGAAAGTGTTGTGACTCCGTCCTCACGTGTACATTAGGGAGGGCATCGGGATCCGCGTCTCTGTTGATTTAACGCTCTGCTTTGGGGAGAAAAGTGTCTTTCTGCCTACAGAGCGCACCAGGCCTGATCTCATCCAGGACTCTAGAGGCCACTGTAGTAGTAATAATAGCACAGATCAAATTAAAATGAAATACAGAGTCAAGGAGATTCATTGCTAACCAATGGAGCTGAATCACTTGAACAAATTGATAGATGAGGAAATCAGAACGTGTCTGGGGATATTTCACAAATGTCAGAAGATGAAAATTCTTGTGAAACTATTATTCATGATCACTAATTACCCCCCTGATCACGTAGATGGTGACAAACATGTTTAGCATTTCTCTTGGCGACAGAGACATCCATCTGAGCATGGCCTGGTGGGGAGGATGCTCACGCGTGTCGGAGACCTGGACCCATGTACAAGACAGGACCGTATTGACCCTACAGCTGGTCTCTGAGCCCCACATATCTCCTGCAAAGCTCCTGGTCTTTGGGAGAGGCTTCCCTGCGTCCCTTGATCCTATTCTGAGTGGATGACAGTTTTTTCCTTTGGGTAATTTGTTGGTTTTATGGAAAGAATTGCCTTTGCAGTTGTCCTAATACAAGTCACGGGAGGTGATTTGTTCTCCAGTTTGGATCATGGTTTCTGGGTGGCGTATACGTGGTCATGATTCTTCCATACGTCAGTTATTGGTTTTCTATTTACGAAGGAGATAAATGAAGCACAGAAAAAACCCAAGATCTTAGAAAGATCTGGGGGACACCCCAGGTCCAAGTTCAAACCTCCAAATCCCTGAGAGGTGATTTAAACACAAAGAAGATCTCTCTCTTGTTTCAGACAGGGATTGTTTGTGTGAAATCCCTCTCATTAGAGGTTAGACAAATCTATGTCAAAATAGCTAAATCAGAACAACTCCTGCCCTGGGGTGTGGGAAGTGGGAGCTGCCCTTCTGAGGTCTCCTCCAGTCCTCTCTTCCAAAGCCCAGCAATCTCCAGAAGGGATTTGAAAGTGGATTTGGATGCCTTTGCCACCCCGCATCATTTGCTGTGATAGTTTTGCTGGCATTTTTCTTTCCACAGGGGTCCCCGAGGCTTGCACAAGCGGTGTTGCGTGCACTGGGGTAGCTGAGCCATTGCAATCCACCACACAGCCTGTGGGGTGGGCATCTGGGCTACCCCAGGGCTGGGCCACCCCACCGAGCTGTGCTTGGGATGGGGACTGTGTGCTCTGCAATGCACGTTGGCATCAGCCTTTGCACATGCACAAGGAAGAGGTTGGCAAGGAAGGCTTGCTGCAGTGTCAGGGCAGAGCATGTCAGCAGCCCCCGTGTGTCCACCTATAAAACCTCCATCCCAGAAAGGTGCACCCTGCGCCTGTTTTTACTTCTTTTCCTTATCCAGATCGTGCTGCAGGAGAAATCTCCACCATTAATGTTGCAAAGCGGCTGATTTCTGCGATGTGTCACATCCTGCAGGCTGGGCCAGGCAGGACACCGGGAGACGGAGACAATGGAGGTTCTCGCCTGGGCTGGGTGAGGTGTGAGGAGCCACCGGGGACATGATGCTGTGTGTCACTGACTCCAGATCCCTGCTTTGCTGCAACAATCCTCCCAGGTGATTCCTCTTCTAACCCTACCAGGCCATCTCTTACAAGGAGTTTGGGGCCTTTTGCCCCGTTAGAGAGAGGGGGTCCAGCCAAGTGCCCCCCTGATGTCTACCAACCCATTTCTAATTTCCATTTGACATGTATTCCTGGCCAGATGATCCCCATTTCTCCCTGGGTCAAAGTCTTCAGCTCTGAGAGTTCTCACCCCTCCCTGGTCTTTCCCAGCATCTCTCAGCCATCAGAATGGCACCGAGCATCACTGAGTATCAGCTGCGGAAGACACGTAGGTCCTGCAGGAGCTGCTTCCCTTGGGGTGAGACAAGATCTGTCATGCTTGCGATCTCTGAAGGTCTAATGGACCATGGACCAGAGCATTTCTTTTCCACCAGCTTCAGCATCCCGTCTTGCTCTGCACTAGCCGTGCCATTCCCATTCCTGAATCCTCTTCCTGACTTTTTTCCCAGGGCTTTTTTTTGAGACTTATGATGCAAGTCAAACTGTACCCGTTGCCTCGTCAGTGAGTGAAACGATGTGCCAAGCAGACCCTCTGATTTTTACCTCTCTGATGAAATGTGTGGGGTTTTTTTACATTAGTATATTAGTATTTAATTGCTGGGTTGCATAAAGAGTCCGTGATCAAAACTGTTAGTTATTTCTCAACAAGGAAGTTGTCTGGAGTAGGAATAAAAGGACACCAGGTTGAATCAACTAGGATCCTCGATGTGAGGGTGAACGGGGACACTGCAAACACCAGCTTTGGCCAGAAGAAGGAACAGAAGCAATTCAAAGGGATGAAGTGGAAAACACTGATGCAAGGGGGTTATGAACAATGATTTTTTATTGCCTCCACGTCTGCTGTGAAATAAGGAGGTGGATAGCACTTAATATTTCACAGAGACAGTGGGTTACATCTTCAAAGCACGTTACAAGCAAAATGACAGGAAGAGTGGAGATCCGTGAGCAACACGGGACATGCCGCCCATCAGGGCAACGTTGCAAGAGTGAGAAGTTTCCCCCATTCATCCCCACTCCTCATGTCCTCTACTTTATCTTCCGGGCTGGCACTTTGCAGACCTGCTTTTGCTGCTGGCTTGGGATGCACTTTGCCACGGGCACGCAGCCTTGCTGCACCGGACAGGGACAGGTCTGCACTGGGCAGCACTGCGGGACGCACTGTGTTGGCTTGCTGTAGCATGGCTTCCCCCCCTGGTACCCTGATCCGTGGCACGTCTCGGAGCAGACCGACCTCCCGTAGCTGTGGCATCCTCCCGACGACCCATAGCTGTATGTGGGTCTCCTGACACAGCTCGAACCACCTCCGTGGCACGAACCTGAGGACCCGTGGCATCTCTCGGAGCAGACCGACCTCCCGTAGCTGTGGCATCCCCCCGATGACCCATAGCTGTATGTGGGCCTCCTGACACAGCTTGAGCCCCCGCCTCCATGGCACGAATCAGCCGCAGCAGAGCCGTGGCATCTCTCGGAGCAGACTGGCTGCCGATAGCCGTAATGACGGTAGTTGTGCCCTCTCATGCCTTCAACGCCTTCGCTGTCGCACCCTGAGGAGCAGGTGTTATAGCCGTAGC